GAGACTTAATGAAAATAAATAATAATTCTTGCATTTGTTATTGCGCCTTATCATGTCTTTGAGATATCTCAAAGCTTCACAGAATATACACAACGATAGACAGAATATATGCAAGGATTATTATTACTAATACTGTGCAAATTGACTGCCTCAATTGCCTGCAAAGGGTGAGCCTTCCACCACTCTGCCCCCACCCTCTGGACCTCCATACCAGTCCTTCCATCTCGCCCCCCTCCCTCACCCCCTCCCTCGTCCCCCTCCCTCGCCTCCCTCCCTCGCCCCCTCTCTCACCCACCTCCCTCACCCCCTCCCTCACCCCCCTCCCTCACCCCCTCCCTCACCCCCCTCCCTCGCCACCTTCAAGATTCATCTCAAGACTCACCTCTTTGACCGCGCTTTCGATCTCCGTGCTTCCCCCCCCCCCCCCCGCCCTCAGCAGCTCGGGTCTGTAACTCGGCTCTGGGATGTCCTCCCGACGTGAAAGGCTTTACACGTGGAATGTTGTTGTTGTTGTATACTGTAAAGTGAATTGACTATTTTGTGGGCGAAACTCGGCAGCGAACAGACAGTCATGGATTGAATGACCAAATTATTTTTTGATTTAAATATATTATCCCAACATTGCAAAGTAAACTACAACACAACAGAAACCAATCTTCGAGTAACTTGTTTTATTAAAAATAAAATGACATTAATTCAACATTTATAGATCTACAAAAACAAAATGCAGCAGTAAACATTTCTTTGCTGCGAAGCCTATGTAGTGGTATAATACCTGTGTAGTGTTGGACATTTGATTTCATACCGTGTTCAGCTAAAAGGCAGAAACCAATCTGTTGACAAGAGGTTTGGATACAATACAAAATGACAATTGAACAGCGCCTTTCCCATCGGGAGGTCATCCCAGGGATTTGTATGTGAGCTGGGGGTTGGGATCAGGGAGGGTGGAGGGCAGAGGTTGGGGGGTGGTCAAAGGCGGAACTGAAGAGGATTCTGAGACGTGCCTTGAAACGAGGCAACGGGGCGAGGGGAAGGGACTGGGATGGAATCCCAAAGGATGGGCGCAAAGAGGCGGAAGGAGCAGAGAGCAGATGTAGACGGTTACTCATTTCAGTTATCTTTGGGACAGGTTACGAGGCAGGGAGAGGAGCCACGACACTGGGAAGATGTTCGGTGGGTAATCTGAAACCAATATCAAAATTGGAATTGGACAAGAATAAATGGAATTATTTTCCTCTCAAATATTTATCCCATCTCTTCCAACCACCTTTTGGTTAGAATACAGAGCTCCAGTGACGGAACAGGACAATCACAGACATTCAGTAGAATGGGGTTAGAGTAGAGAGCTCCAGTGGGGGAGTGAGCACCAGCACAGACACGATGGGGGGAGAGCAGGGAATGGGATTGGAGTGGAGAGCTCCAGTGGGGAGTGAGCACCAGCACAGACACCATGGGGAGAGAGAGAGCAGGGAATGGGGTTAGAGTAGAGAGCTCCAGTGGGGAGTGAGCACCAGCACAGAAGCGATGGGGAAGAGAGAGAGAGCAGGGAATGGGGTTAGAGTACAGAGCTCCAGTGGGGGAGCGAGCACCACACAGACACGATGGGGAAGAGCAGGGAATGGGGTTAGAGTAGAGAGCTCCAGTGGGGGAGTGAGCACCAGCACAGACACCATGGGGAGAGAGAGAGCAGGGAATGGGGTTAGAGTAGAGAGCTCCAGTGGGGGAGTGAGCACCAGCACAGACACGATGGGGGAGAGCAGGGAATGGGGTTAGAGTAGAGAGCTCCAGTGGGGGAGCGAGCACCAGCACAGACACCATGGGGAGAGAGAGCAGGGAATGGGGTTAGAGTAGAGAGCTCCAGTGGGGGAGTGAGCACCAGCACAGACACGATGGGGAGAGAGAGAGAGCAGGGAATGGGGTTAGAGTACAGAGCTCCAGTGGGGGAGTGAGCACCAGCACAGACACGATGGGGAGAGAGCAGGGAATGGGGTTAGAGTAGAGAGCTCCAGTGGGGGAGTGAGCACCAGCACAGACACCATGGGCTGAATATTCTCCTTTTGTGCATAATTTTCAATATAGTATTTCTTCATCTGAACTGCTCTTGTGATCACAAAGGACAGTGTTGTGTTTTACAGATGGTTTGATCCCAGAGTTTGTCCGGTTGTGTTCAATCAGAGGCTCATCATCAGATATTCCCTTTACATTGTTTTGTAACAATGACTATATATAGTTACACATAAAGCAGATGATTACATACACTTTCTCTCAGTACAGTATAATATCAATGGGGCATTGCCTTTGGGGAAATGGTCAAATTCTTAGAATGGAAATACATCAAAGTGTGTTAAGTTTTCTGAGGCTGAAGCTAACTCAGACTCTCTCAGTGTAAACGTGATACATCCAACCAGAGAGACTTTGTGATGTGCTAATTAACACTGATATCAACCTCTTGACCATGAATAATGACACCTGGAACTTGTCCTGGGGTGTCGGTGCTGCTCCCAGTGCTCAGGGTTTGTGCCATTGACTGCTCATTGGTGGCCACTGAAATCCCAGTAACACCAGCAGCTCAATGGACCCATTTGCCCACTGGGCTCAGGGTTTACCAGGAGACCAGAACGCATTACATTTACATAGCGGCCATCATACCGGGCAGCGTCCGTGTTAGTGGCAGAGCACGGGGGGCGGGGGAGGTGATCAATAGGAACGGTCAAAGAGGAAGGCCTTCAGGCACGACCTGGAGGCAACCCAATGGTGGTGGGTTGGGGAGTAAGCAGGTTGGAGAGGTGGGGGGTGTCAGGGTGTGAAGGATTTGAAAATGAGGATCTTAAAATCAATTCATTTGGCGATAGGGAGTCAGTGGCGATTTACAACATGGAGAACAAATTTCTTATGGAATCACATTAAGAACTGCCATAAACAATGGGTAGAACTGCCTGTGGTGGATGAGGTCGACAGTAATCTCACTCAGTTGAGGGTTGCACAGAGCCTGACACGACAGTCCTGATTTTGCCCACAAAATATACAGTCTCTAAGTGCTTTACAGTATATTCTGTGAAGCGCTTTGAGACGTCTCAAAGGCGCGATATCAAATGCAAGGATTATTATTAGTTTTCTCTTTGTATCATCTTATCAAAACACCTCAGCTTCACAGCTGATTCCCTGACAGTGTCTTTTGGGCAAAAACTGCATCCGTTGGTGTCCCCCTGAGGTGAATGACCAATTTAGGTGGTGGATTACTGATGATTGGGGAAAGGTCTCTAATCTCCAGCTCTGTGGGCCCTGTACACAGTGTCGTGCTGCTGATTAAATGATGTTTTAAGATGAATTAAGTTGGAATAAATAGATGGAACAATAATGGAGATGCTGAGGCTGTAGGGCTCTAGGGCTGTGGAATGGTGACCCTGGGCCCAGGACAAGGGCAGCTCATTAGCCTCAAACACTCGCTCTGCCACTAACTGAAACCCTCACAGCACAAGTTCACACATACACACATCCCAAAGCAGGAAGAGTGGGCGCAAAGCAAAGGGCCTCAAGAGCAGGGACTCAAAGCTCAGCCACCAGTGGAATGAGGGGGAGAGTGAGGGACGAGGAACACATCGATAACAAACCAGCTCCCACTCCAACAACCAAACGTCCTCTCCTCCTCCCCCGCCCTCCCGCAGTGAGACAATGCCTGTAACTGAACGGAATTTGGGTATTGTCAGCCTGACATGAGCTGATGGAGGTCAAGGTTGAGGGGAGGGGATGGTGGTGGAGGGCGGGAGATGGTGGTTGAGGGGAGGGAGGATGATGGTTGAGGGGTGATGGTGGTTGAGGGGGGGAATGGTGGTTGAAGGGGGTGGGGGGAGATGGTGGGTTAAGCGGGAGGTGGTGGTTGAGGGGGGGTGGTGGTTGAGGGGGGTGGGAGGATGGTGGTTGGGGGGTGGTGGTTGAGGGGGGGGAATGGTGGTTGAGGGGGGGAATGGTGGTTGAGGGGGGGAATGGTGGTTGAGGGGGGAATGGTGGTTGAGGGGGGAATAGTGGTTGAGGGGGTGTGGGGAGGATGGTGGTTGAGGGGGGTGGGGGAGGATGGTGGTTGGGGGGATGGTGGTTGGGGGGGGATGGTGGTTGGGGGGGGTGGTGTTGGGGGGGGGTGTGGTTGGGGGGTGGGGAGGAATATATTAACTGGTATAAAAGAGAAAGAACTTGTGTTTATGCAGCACTTGGGTCACGTGGGAACATCTCAAAGAACACAATCCCTGTCGGGTGCAGACTATCAGACTATCAGACTGACTGTCAGACTGACTGTCAGACAGGGAGAAGCAGCAGCCAATACACACAGTGAGGTCCCAAAGCTGCCGGCCAGGACGTGAACGGACGGTTTATGTGCGGAATTGTCGGCCTAGACACCGGGAGAAACGTCCTTCTGTGTTGCGATCGTGTTGTGGGATTTTTACGCTGAGGACACACAGGAGAGCTGAGAGGACCAGGAAGGTTTGGCCTGGGCTCCCCTCAGGGTATAATCCTGGCCTCTGCCCCTGGCTTCCCAGTGACAGTTCGGGGGTGGGGGAGGAGGGAGGAGCTGCAAGAAGGACTTGGAGCTGTTCATGTGTTGAAGAAGGAGGAGAGAGGCCAGCTCCTGTTCCCGGCTGGGAGCTCAGCGCTCTCTTGCTCTGCGAGCAGGAATGTTTGGGAATTGACGGATGGGGGCTGCCGATGGGGGTGGTGATGGGGGCTGCTGGTCAGCGATGCCCAGGCTGTCAGGCTGCATCTGGGGCTTGTACCGCAGTGTGTGGGCAGGGATACCTCTGGGGAGGAGAGGTCCTGAGGGCAGCACTTGGGGGGGTGTGGGAGTGGATCTGGGGCTGGTAACCAGACTTCACAACGATATCTGTCTGCGCCTGTGGTTGCTCGGGCCCCGGCCTGCCCTGCCGCTGGTACCCAGAGCTCTGGATAGTGGAGTAGGTGACCTGGCTCGGGCACGGAGGCGAGGGGCGGCAGAGAGGAGACGTCGAAGGCTAGGTTTGTGCGGCCCGAGGTGTTGGAGGGCAGGTTGGTATCGGTTGATACCCGCTGTGGGTGTAGGACAGCACGCCTTGGCTCTGGCTCTCCTGGTTGGATGTGTCGTCAGGGATTGACTCGTACAGGCTGCCCTTCCTGCCCTCCATCGCCAGCTGTCTGCCCTCCACCACCTGCACCTCGTTGGGGATGCAGTCCCTGGGCTCCAGCGTACTACAGGTGGAGACTCCCTGGAGGGAACAAACCAACAACAGGACAAGTAAGGGCCCCAATGCCATCATCCTCACGCTCCATACAGCAGCCATCAGGTCAATGTGTCTCACAGCCCTTCAGCTACTTGTTATCAAGTGTAATGACTGTATTTTGTGGGAGAACAAAGCAGCCAGTAAGTAGTGTAATAATAACAATAATCCTTGCATTTGATAAAGCGCCTCATCACATCTTCGAGACGTCTCAAAGCGCTTCACAGAATATACTGTAAAGTGTAATGACTGTGTATTTTGCGGGTGAAACGCGGCAGCCAATTGTACACAGCAGTGTCCCCACAAACAGTCGTGGATTGAAGTGACCAAATTATTATTATTATTTTCTTGAAGGGATTATTACCCTGGAAAGTGATCTGCCAATTGACTAACAACCGGGTCCCTACTCACTGCTGGTAATCAGAGGTGTGTGGAGTAAGGAAACTTGCTCAGTGTTTTGCTCTGCCCGGGAATCAAACCCGGGTCCTCTCGCTCTCTCGAACCAGTACACCACAGGACTCCAAATTCTGCCATTGCAATCCATTTTGCAGATAGGTAGGTTTCACACACACCACACCACCGGCACCACACACACATGCACATATGCGAACATACACACACGCGCACACATACACACGCACACACACACACACAGGCACACGCACAGACGCACATGTGCGAACACAGGCACACATGCACACACACACGATGCACACAAAGGCACACGCGCACATACACACAGATATGCACATGTGCGCACACAGGCACACCACCACACACACTCAGACACACGTATGCACATACATGCAAAATGGGCCATACCTGAAAGAAATTTCCATCCTGCAGAACTTTGCTGTTATTGGGGTCGGGAATGTCAGGATAAAAGCTCTCTTTGATCCTATAAGCAGACGGGGATAAGACAGAAAGTGTTGTTCAGTGATCAGAGGGTCACAGAAGCGAACTGCGCACAGGCAGTCACTCTACACACACACTACACACTACATCACACAAACACCTCGCCGTTACTTACATTTCAAGACAACAATTTGCGTTTACACAGCGTCCCCCACGCAGGGCACCGTCCCAGAGCCTGACAGCGGTGGAGCACGACACCGAGCCGGGGGAGGGGAGGTCATGGTAGGCACGGTCGAAGAGGAAGATGGTCAGCGCGATCTGAGATGGGGAAGGAGGCGACAAGCCGGAGGGAGGGATAGAGGGAGTTTCCGGGCGTAGTGGCTGAAAGCGCAGCCACCAATGGTGGAACAGAGGGACGAGCACAATAATAATAATAATAATAATCCTTGCATTTGATATAGCGCTTTTCATGTCGGGAGGACGTCCCAAAGCGCTTCACAGAACACACTGTAAAGTGAATTGACTGTATATTTGTGGGCGAACGCGGCAGCCAATTGCGCACAGCAATGTCCCACAAACAGTCGTAGATTGAAAATGACCAATTTATTATTGTTTTTGGTTTTGGAGGGATTATTATTAGGCTCTGTGTGGAGTAAGGAAACTTGCCCAAGGTTTCGCCCTCTGCCTGGAATTGAACTCAGGTCTCTCACTGGCAAAGCGAGTGCTCTAACCACTGAGCTACAGGACTCCACAAAGAGAGAGGCCGGAGCCAGTCGAGTGGAGGCAGCGGGTTGTGGGTTGGGGAGTAAGTAGGTCAGAGAGGTCGGGAGGTGCCAGGACGTGAAGGGATTTGTAGAAGAGTGTGACGACGAGTGGGACAATATGGTGTTGGAGGATAAAACTAGGAGGTATTTCAGACCTGTGGACATATCTGGTGAAGGGGACAGAGAGAGGCGGTGGGGGGGGAGCGGGGGGGGGAAGGGAAGGTGGAGAGGAACTTACCATTCCTGTTTGCGATAGCAGAAGACACTGAGCATCAGTCCCAGTATTAGGGCCAGGAGGAGAGGTACAGTGATGCCCAGGATCAGGGTGAGGGCTGAGGGGAGAGGAGAGAACAGTCAGTACAGTCAGACACTGATCCACACCACACAACACAGTGGAGTCCTGTAGTTCCGTGGTTAGATTCCTTCGCAAGTGAGAGGTCACGGGTTTGATTCCCAAGCTGCCAGGTCATCAGGAGAGAGAAACTGCCTTCTCTTTTTGAAGGGATTATTAAACCCCAGTGTCTAACCACTAAGCTATAGGACTCCACATGAGTACACACAGACTTGGTTTAATGTCTCATCCAAAGGACGGAGTCTCTGAAAATGCATCTCCCTCTCGTTCCCCCCCCCCATCGCTGTGCTGGAACGTCAGCCTGGACTGTGAGCTCAGAGACCCTGATGTAAGGGGTGGGGGGGGGGGCTTGAATCCACATCCTCCTGATCCCGTGGTGAGAGTGCATGTGACTAAGCAAAGCCGGGAGCTTTTTTTTTGCCCAGCCGGGTATCTGACACACACACAAACCCATCACTGTTGCTTAAGAGTCTCTAAACCAAACTGAGAATTCCCTGCCTTCCACCTACACATGGGAATCCCAGAGATAGATTGTTGGGATGGAATGCGCTCTCTCTCTCTCTCTTTCTCTCTCTCCCTGGAGGGAGGCATCCTGTTTACCTAATTCCGGAGAGTATTAGGCACAGGTTGGCAAGAGCCAAGGCTTGGGGGGAGCCCAGAGAGTGTGTTGGGGTAACTGCTGGAGTCCAACCAGTTAAACCAGTTGGTCATTGATATCTCTGTCTGACAAGCTTTCCTGCTACTTGTCCAGCGAGGACCACTCTCCCCGTTGAGCGAGGCTGAGCTGTGCTGTCATCAGCAGTGCCATGGAATACTGCACACTGAACTGGCTCAGGAACCAGACTACCTGGGGGACAATGTGTGGGGGAACTGAGGGCTGGGGGGGGCAGTGGGGTAACTGAGGGGGAGGGGGTAGTGTGAGGGTAACTGAAGGCTAGTGGGGGAGTGGGGGAAGGGTGCTGGGTAACTCACGGCTGTTCAGGGTAGTGACCATGGTCAGTTTGACCGGACCCTCCCCTCCTCCAGTGAAGGCGCTCACAGCGATGTTGTACGTTGTGCCAGGATTCAGGCCATTGATCTTAAAGATCTTCTTCTCCGAGGCTCGTATCGTCTCTGGGGTAACGGGTGAAGAGGAAAGAGAAAGGAGAGTCAGAAATGTGGGAACGCTGAAGGGGCATACAGCATCTTCACATCACCTCCAGACACCCTCATCACCCTCTTCTTCCCTCCAGATACCCACCCTCCCTTCCATCTATTTGAAATGACCACCCTCTCCCCCCACCCCCCTTGCGTGCGCGTGAGTGCATGTGTGTGTGTGTGCACGTGTGTGTGTGCGCATGGGTGTGTGTGTATCTCACACATGCTGTGTTACTAAGCTAAGATAACAGAGACCAGACGTACTTGCGGGCTGGCTGAGCCAGGCTGGGGACGAGGCGTTGCTCTTGATATAATAGATGTTAAATCCCTCAATAAACCCTCGTAGCTTGTCCTGGGGGATGTCCTCCCACTGCAGCCAAATCCAATCCCCCGCCGTCTCCCTCACTGTCACCTCAGGCCCATCAGTGGGCGCTAAACACCACCAGACAATGAAGAGACTTTTACTGGTAGCTCTGTCTCTCTCCAGCTCACACACTCTGTCTATCTGTCCCACACAGTCTCAATCTCTCTCATAAACTCTCTCTCTCTCAGTCTCTGTCACTCTATCTTTCTCTCTCACAAATACAGTTTCTGTCTGCCTGTCTGTTTCAAACATACTCTCTGTCAGACATTCTCTCACAGTTTCTCTCTGCCCCAGTCTCTCTTTCTGTCTCAGTCTCTCTCTGTTTCAGTCTCTCTCTCTGTCTCAGTCTCTCTCTCTGCCTCAGTTTCTGTCTCAGTCTCTCTGTCTCAGTCTCTCTCTGTCTCAGTCTCTCTCAGTCTCTGTCTGTCTCAGTCTCTGTCTGTCTCAGTCTCTCTCTGTCTGTCTCAATCTCTGCCTCAGTCTCCCTCAGTCCCATGTACCTGATGCTCACCTAGTTCTTTTGTGTAGCCAACCTGTTCCTCCAGTAAGTAATCACCGTCCGGCCTGCACTCATACACTGAGAAGTTGTAGCGCACTCCAGGTTTAAAGACATCTGTGGGAGAATAAGAAAATCAAATGAAAACTGTCCTGCGCAGAGCAGATTACAACAAGCCCTGGGGGTGGGGGGGGGGGGGGCAGCTTAACATGCATCAACAACAACTTACATTTATATCATGCCTTTATGTCAGCCTGGCTCAGGTGGTGAAACTCTCACCTGAGTCAGGAGGTTGTGGGTTGGGCGTTTGAGCTCACAGTCCAGGTTGACATAGCTGGGAGGAGCCCTGAGACATAAAACCAAGGACATCTGAGTGGTCGTCTCAAAGTGTTTAAAGTGTTTCCTCTTCGACTGTGCCTTCAGTCACCTCCTCTCTTTATCCAGCTGAGCAACAACCCACACTGCTATACCACGCTCCTTGACATTACTCATGTGAGGGATGCTATATAAATGCAAGGTGTCGTTATCTGTTCAGGTGGACATTAAAGATCTTGCGATACTATTCGAAAAGAGAGTTAATCTTTCTCTCTTTCTCTTTCTCTCTCGTTGTCCTGGCCAACAATTCCCCAGATAAAATTGGTCTTATTATTATTAACTTCCTGGCTGTTTGCAGGTTGTCGCTGTGCAAACATTTGCTCACTATGAAATACACAGTCACTACATTTTACAGTATATCCTGTGAAGCGCTTTGAGACATCTTCCTGACGTGAAAGGCTCTAGGTTCATTGCAAAACAGCTCGATACTTTGATGGGAAGGCGGGAGGCCAGTCGGGAGACATGAGATCAAATAGAGCAGATTACCCTCTACATCCAAACCATCTGTGATCTAAACGCTCTACTGAGATCAAACTAATCTTTGTCACTGGCTTTAACTCTGGAACACTCTCCCTCTGTCCCTCCCTCCGCCTCCTTCCCCATCTTCAGGTCGCGCTTCCGCTTCAACCGTGCCTATGGTCACCTCCCCCCTCCCCCGGCTCTGTGTCGTGCTCCTCCACTGTCAAGCGCTCTGGGACGCTGCCTGTGTGACGGGCGCAGTGGTTGTTGTTGTCGAACGTGTGGTAACAGATGCCAGAGACGGGCAGAAAATAATAATATTCCTTGCATTTGATATAGCGCCTTATCACGTCTTCGAGACGTCTCAAAGCGCTTCACAGGATATATTGTAAAGTGAATTGACTATATTTTGTGAGTGAAACTCGGCAGCCAATTGTGCACAGCAGCGTCCCCACAAACAGCCGTGGATTGAGTGACCGCATTTTTAAATGCCAAAAAATGCTCCAAACACTTTACCTGATCGGATGACGGCGTGCCGGAGGTTGGAGGGTAATTTGAGCCACTCTGGCTGGCAGTCAGGGGGTCTGCACCACTGCACAGTGTAGCCACAGCTCCTGTGGTGTCTGCTCTCCCAACTTAAGTTGAATCCACCTTCCGAACCAGTCACTCTCTCCACCTCCACATCTACATCACCTGGAGAAGCAGAGAAACCGGCAGAGGTGTGGTCATGGAAACAGCATACTCTCTGTGTCTCTCCTACGCTTCTCTGTCTGTCTGTCTCTGTCTGTCTGTCTCTGTCTGTCTGTCTCTGTGTATCTCTCTAACTGCATGTGTGGGTGTCTCTCTCTCTCTGTTTCCCTGAGTGTGTGTGTATGTGTGTCTCTCTATTTCCCTGTGTATCTGTATGGGTGTGTGTCTCTCTCACTCTTTCTGTGTGTGTGTGTGTGTCTCTCTCTGTTTCCCTGTGTGTGTGTGTCTCTTTTTCTCTGTCTCTGAGTGTATGTGTGTCTCTCTCTCTCTCTGTCCCTGAATGTGTCTTTCTCTCTATGTCCGAGTGTGGGTGTATGTGTGTCTCTCTGTTTCCCTGTGTGTGTGTGTATCTCTGTCTGTCTCTGATTGTGTGTGTGTGTGTGTGTCTCTCTCTGTCCCTGAATGTGTCTTTCTCTCTATTCCGAGTGTGAGTGTATGTGTGACTCTCTCTGTTTCCCTGTGTGTGTGTGTGTGTATCTCTCTCTGTCTGTCTCTGATTGTGTGTGTGTGTCTCTCTCTCTCTCTGTCCCTGAGTGTGTCTTTATCTCTATGTCCGAGTGTGGGTGTGTGTGTCTCTCTGTTTCCCTGCGTGTATGTGTCTCTCTCTCTGTCTCTGAGCATGTGTGTGTGTCTGTCTCTGTCCCTGAGTGTGTCTTTCTCTCTATGTCCGAGTGTGTGTGTGTCTCTCTGTCTCTGAGTGTGTGTGAGTGTGTGTATCTCTCTCTGTCTGTCTCTGATTGTGTGTGTGTGTGTGTGTCTCTCTGTTTCCCTGTGTATATGTGTCTCTCTCTCTCTGTCTCTGAGTGTGTGTGTGTCTGTTTCCCTGTGTGTGTGTGTGTGTCTCTCTCTCTCTGTCCCTGAATGTGTGTGTGTGTGTGTCCCTCTCTCTGTTTCCATGAGTGTGTGTCTCTCTTTTTCCATGAGTGTGTGTGTGTGTGTCTGTTTCCATGAGTGTGTGTGTGTGTGTCTGTTTCCATGAGTGTGTGTGTCTCTCTGTTTCCCTGTGTGTGTGTGTGTGTGTGTATCTCTCTGTTTCCATGAGTGTGCGCGTATCTCTCTCTCTCTCCGTCCTTAAAAAGCCGCTGTGTGAAATGCCAGGATTATTATTATTACACGTTGGACACTTTGGAGGCAGCTGAGCCCCGAAGTGACCCACTTACCTCTGTGAGGAGGGATGGTGATAGTGGAGCGAGGAGAGAGTCCAGCACTGTTCCTGGCGACCACACTGACGCTGTAGGCAGCTGTGTCCAGCTCCAGCTCTGTGCTGGTGCTCACGGCCTCCTCACTGCTCACAGCACCATCTCCCACCTTCTTCCATGTCACTGTGTAGGACTCGATTGGCCCATTAGCCTCAGCGTCTGACAGGGACTGTGAGCAGGACACAGAGGTTAGAGCAGCAGATTCCTCATGGCCTTAGCCTCAAGAGAACGATGACAGCAACTTGCATTTATGTAGAGCCTTTCACACAGGCTAGCGTCCTGGAGTGCTCGACGGTGGGGGGGGGGGTCTGACCCTGAGCCAGGGGGAGAGGCAAGGAGGAGGTGACCGTCGGCACGATCAAAAAGGAACGTCTTTAAGCACGATTTGGAGGTGAGGAGGGAGGGAGCAAGGCGGAGGGATTGAGGGAGAGAGTTCCAGAGTTTCGGAGTGTAGGGACCGAAGGCACGGCCACTGAGAAATACTAGTGCTGAAAAATTGAGAAGCTACAATAAAGTGGGACACTGCTGTGCGCAATTGGCTGCAGCGTTTCACCCACAAAATATACAGTCACTACATTTTATAGTATATCCTGTGAAGCCCTTTAAGAAGTCTTAATGTGATAAGGCGCTATATCAAATGCAAGGATTATTATTATTATATTTCAGTTGTTACTCAGTGCACTGTTAGGCAAAAACAAAACAAAGGATAACAGGAACTTTGTGGACACCCTGTAGTATAATCCTTACCTTCCAGAAAAGCGTGACCATCCGTCTGGAACCATTCACACTAATGTCTCTCCAGACGTCCACACCCACTGATGGAGCTAGGATTGAAACAACAACACGGTTTACACAATGTCCTTCGGGTAGAATCTCACGCAAAGATTCAGTCACAATGAGAAGAGAGACGGCAGAAGTCAGGGCTTTTTTGGCTGGAGCAGAGAAACTGTTAGTTTTTGACCTAAGCTCATCCTTCTCCCTCCCCTTCTTCTTCCTCTTTGACAAGCGTCAATCTAATAATAATAATAATCCTCGCATTTGATACAGCGCCTCATCACGTCGTTGAGACAACGCCAAGTGCTTCACAGAATATACTGTAAAGTGGATTAACTGTATATTTTGTGGGCGAAACGTGGAAGCCAATTACACACAGCAGCGGCCCACAAACAGTCGTGGATTGAGTGAACAATTTTATTTTGAAGGGATTATTACCCCACAGAAAGCGATCCACTAATTGACTAACGACCAGGATCCTACTCACTGCTGGTAAACAGAGGCGTGTGGAGTAAGGAAACTTGCCCAATGTTTCGCCTCCTGCCCGGGAATCAAACCCGGGTCCTCTCGCTTGCGAGGCGAGGGCTCTAACCACTGAGCTACAGGACCCCATAATCCCAGCGTCCTCTCACCTTTCTCAAGCCTCTCTCACCCTCGTCCTGCGGACCCTCTGTGGGAGAATGCTGACATGTTTAGCGACCGCTCGTCACTCACCAGCTTGCTGGGTTCGCACAGTCACTGTGTTACTCCATTCACTCCACTTCCAGAAGTGCTGAGACGTGTAGCGGGCTCTGATGGTGTACAATGTGTTGGCTCGCAATCGGTCTATCTGTACCACGTGGCTTTTATACGGCGATTCTCCACGTACCGAGTAGTTGAGCTGAAACGTAACGTTATTACAAACTGATAACTGACAGTGCTATGTTAGCCAACAGTTAGGGCACAAAGGCCCCAAAGTTTCTCAGGCTCTCAGGCTTGAAAATTTAAGGTCATAGAATCACAGAATTTTACAACATAGAAGGAGGCCATTTAGCCCATCGAGCCTGTGCCGGCTCTTTGGAAGAGTTGCCAACTAGTCCCACTCCCCCACTCTTACCCCAACTGGTCCCACTCCCCCGCTCTTTTCCCAACTAGTCCCACTCTCCCACTCTTACCCCAACTAGTCCCACTGCCCCACTCTTACCCCAACTAGTCCCACTGCCCCACTCTTACCCCAACTAGTCCCACTCCCCCGCTCTTACCCCAACTAGTCCCTCCCCTGGTTCTTTTGCCAATAATCTTAAATCTGTGTCCTCTGGTTACCGCCAGTGGAAACAGTTTCTCCCTATTCAAAACCCTTCATAATTTTGAACACCTGTATTGAATCTCTCCTTAACCTTCTCTGCTCTAAGGAGAACAATCTCAGCTTCTCTTGTCTCTCCATATAACTGAAGTCCGTCATCCCTGGTACCATTCTGGTAAATCTCCTCTGCACCCTCTCCAAGGCCTTGATATCCTTCCTACAGTGCGATGCCCAGAATTGGACACAATATTCCAGCTGAGGCTTAACCAGTGACTTGTAAAGGTTTAGCAGAACTTTCTTGCTTTTGTATTCGATGCCTCTATTTATAAAGCCAAGGATCCCATATGTTTTTAACAGCTCGATCAACCTGTTCTGCCACCTTCAAACACCTGTGTAGGTGAACCCCCAGGTCTCTCTGCTCCTGAACCCCATTTAAAACTGTCAGGTTGTACGAAATTTAGGAAAACAGTCTTGAATTGTCTTAATTTAAAAGCTGATTTTATATCGGTATTAAACATTCATCCAAGCATTTTATATCATACCTGGAAATATTGTCCTAATGTGTAAAAGTGCTTAAATATATCAAATGCAAGTATTATTATTATTTAAAGGTTACAGTATCTACCCTGTGGATGGTAACTTACCAACGTGCTTTTACCCCCCTCTTCGCTGATCACAATCTCACACATCAGCCAAATGCCTTTGTAATTCACTGGGTCCAACCACAACAGAGTGATTGTGTCTGCAGTGACGAGTCCTTGCCTTAGATTATCAGGAGCAAAGGGGTGAACTAGGAAGAGTAAAAAAACACAGGTTAGAGATTTCAATCATTGAATTGATCCAAGAATCATAGAGGTTTACAGCACAGACAGAGGCCGTTCAGCCCATCGTGCCTGTGCTGGTACTCTGAAACAGCGATCTTTTCAGGCCACTACTCTTGCCCTTTAAGTTTAAAATATTTTTCTAATTCCCTTTTAATAATTGTTATAGGTTTTATTTCAACCCGTCTTTTTGCACTCACCTACTCGGGTGACATTGACTGAGATGCTGGCTTGTGTTTTCCCCAGTGGGTTTTCAGCAGTCAGTGAGATATTATATTGACTTGTATTGGAGAGTGTATAAGCACACCAGTAATATGCTGAGGTCTGCGAAGCTTTATCACATGTGAGAGATGTTGATCTGAGGAATGAGAGACGTACGTTAGAAACGGGAGCGCTGTGTAGGAGGCTGGTAGTGACAAGACACATTTCTCAGCCACAAACCGCAGTAGAAGCAGAGCCACAAATTATTTTAGAGAAGAGTCCTTAAATAACTACTAATAATAATCCTTGCATTTGATATAGTACCTTAACATGTCACTGAGACATCTCAAAGGGCTTCGTAGAATATACTGTAAAGTGAATCGGTCGTATATTTTGTGGGCGAAATGCGGTAGCCAATTGCGCAGAACAGCGTCCCACAAACAGTCGTGGATTAAATGACCAAATTATTTATTTTTTTTGTAAACAACAATAAAGTTACATTTGTAAAGCATGTTTCAAGTCAGGAGGACGTCCCAAGGTACTGGACAGTCAGTGTTTCGGACCCGAGCTGGGGGTCGGGTTGGGGAGGGTGGAGGGCAGGGGGAAGGAGGGTGATCAAAAGCACGGTCGAAGAAGAGGGTCTTGAGATGGGTCTTGAAGGTGGCGAGGGAGGGGGCAAGGTGAAGGGACTGCGTGATGGCGTTCCAAAGGGCGGGGCAGAGTGGCGGAAGGCCCTCCCGCCAATGGTGGGGTGGGCGAGGCGGGGGAAGCGAAACTGTCCAGAAAGAACGAGCAGGATGGTAGGGTTTAGGAAGTTGGAGGTAGGGAGGAGCAAGACCATGGAGGGCTTTGAAGGTGAGGACCAGGATCTTGAACTGTATCCTCTGTGTGATGGGAAGCCAGTGGAGTCGGGCGAGGATGGGGGTGATGGGGTCACGGAGCCTGGTGGGGTTGAGGATGAGTGTGATGGGATCACGGAGCTGGTGGGGGTGAGGACACGGGCTGCAGAGTTAGTTCTGGATGATTTGCAGCCTGTGGAGGGAGTTTTCATAGTGGAGCCTAGATGTAATGAAGGCGTGTGTGAGGGTCTCTGGGGCTGCGGTGTGAGACAGTGGGGGAGCCGGGGGATGTTGCGGAGGTGGGGAAGGCAGAGCGGGTCATGGTGCAGATGTGGGGTAGAAAGGATAGTTGAGGATCAAACAAGACCCCAAGGTTCCTGGACTGGCTCAGTGAGGGGGAGTGAGCCCCATGGATAGTGATGCTGTCAGCGCCTGAGGTGAGAAGGCGCTGACCGGAGACAATCAGGAGCCTCGGTCTTGTTGACGTTCAACTGAAGAAAGTTAGCTCAAACCTCAGGGACGAGAGGGGAGAGGAGAAAATGGAAAGCTGAAGAAGATGCTGAGAGAGAATCATACCCGTGACTGAGAGTGTAGATTGTATTGCGTTCTGCAGTCAGTCCCGTAAATCTTCCCGGGTCCCAGGTACAATTCAGAGTCTTCAAGTCCCGTGTTTCACAGGTCAGATTCTGTGGGACGTCGGGGTGACCTGTGGAAGAGAATATTTGCCATCAATGACTGTGCTTTTTCCCTTCGGCCAGTTAACGTTAAAGTGTAATAAAAATAGAAGTTGCTGAGAATACTCAGCAGGTCAGGCAGCATCTATGGAGAGAGGAAAGTGAGGTAACGTTTTCAGGTTGTTGACCTTTTGTCAGAACTTTCCATAGATGCTGCCTGACCTGCTGAGTGTTCCCAGCGATTTCTGTTTTTAGTTCAGATTTCCAAACTGCAGTATTTGCTTTAAGATTAAAGTGTGTCTTTAACCAGCCAACAACCAGTTTGTCTCTACTCTTGTCCCTCTCCCTCTAGACACAAACTCAGACACAGTACAATACAGAATTATATTTTTAAAGCGCGTATCATGTCGGGAGGATGTCCCAAGGTGCTGAACAGTCAGGGATTAGGACCCGAGATGGGGATCAGGATCAAGGAGGGTGGAAGGCAGAGAGGGTAGGAGGGTGGCCAAAGGCACGGTCGAAGAGGAGGGTCTTGAAGGAGGCGAGGGAGGGAGCGAGGCATAGGGAATGGGGGATGGAGTTCCAGAGGGTGGGGGCAGAGAGATTGAAAGCCTGACCGCCGATGGTGGGGCGAGCCAGGAGGGGACATGGAGCAGGCTGGAGCCTGTTGAGTGGAGGGAGCGGACAATTTGATAAAACGAGGAGGGGAACTTTACCGACCCTGGAACAAACAACTTGGTTTTATATAGCTACCTTCATGAGGGGTAGTGTGTTGGAGGGCTTAACAGTGGAAGAGCCTGACATTGAGCTTGGGAGAGAGGGGAGCTGCCCATAAGCACGGCCAAAGAGGAAGGTCTTCAGAGGCGATCTGTAGTCGGACCATGCAGAGGGATTGAGGCAGAGGGGGGCGGGTAGTGGGTTGGTGAGTAAGCAGGCCAGAGAGTTAGGGAGGTGGCAGGGCATCTAGTGATTTATATGCAAGTGTGAGGATCAAATCGATCCATTCTGCAATAGGGAGCCAGTGGAGCCTGACAAGGATTGGGATAATGGGGGGATGGAGTTTGCTGTAGTTTGCTGGATGTCGGAATTTTGCATTAAATGGTGGAGCTGGAGAGATTGGTGAGGAAGGAGGGGAAAAATCGAGGAGTGAGGTGACAACTGCATGGATAAGGGTTTCAGCTGTGTTAGTGTGGTTGTGGGTGTGATTTTGACAAAATCACTGTCTCCGTACAGTGGACAGGGTGGACACCAGACAGGAAGGGCTCGAGTAGGCACTGGAGCAAAGTGTGAGCAAAGTTGGTTGGCAACAATACATTCCAGGACTTTGGAGATGAAAGTAAGTTGGCAAGTTTGAGACGGGCCTGGTACGTGTGGTTTAGAAAAGGGGAAATAGTCCACAAAGGGACAGAGCTGTGTGTGTGAGCAATTGCAATGAGAGGCTTGTCAGGTCTTCTTCCCCTACAATCACTGGGGTTTGACAGTCATCGCAGGCTCTCTATCTGGAGTTAGCTCCATTCCCTGCTCTTTTTACACTGGAGCTCTCCACCCAAATTACCTACAAATTACAGTCACTACACTTAACGACAACAACAAATCACATTAGTATTGCGTCTTTCATGTTGCGAGGACATCCCAAGGCCCTGGATAGTCAGGGATTGGACCCGAGCTGGAGGTTGGGATCAGGAGGGGTGGAGGGCAGGAAGGGTAGGGGTAGGAGAGTGACCAAAGGCACAGTCGAAGAGAAGGGTCCTGAGGCAAGCTTTGAAAGAGGCAAGGGAGGTGGCGAGGCGAAAGGACTGTGAGATATGGTCCCAAAAGCAGAGAAGCTGAAGGCCTGACCACCGATGGCGGGAAGGGCCGAGCAGGTTACATGGAGCGGAGAGACCTATATGGTTTAGAAGTAAATCTAATGAAGCCCTTTGATACATGTACCTGATGTGAAGGGCACTATATCAAATCTAAAGATATCAATATGTTTCAAAGAAAGTCTTGTGTCATTGCTGTAAGTGTAGAGAGTGTGTTTGAAGACAATCAAAGCAGAGATTTTGCACAGAGCAATTTCCCACCATCAGCCCCAAAGTGACCAATGTATCTGAGGGATTATTGGCCAGAACATTGGAGGAAACTACCTTCTGCCATCTCATGTGCAGGGCTGTGGGTAAGAGCGGGGGAGTAGGACTAGTTGGGGTAAGAGCAGGGGAGTGGGACTAGATGGGGTAAGAGCGGGGGAGTGGGACTAGATGGGGTAAGAGCGGGGGAGTGGGACTAGATGGGTAAGAGCGGGGAGTGGGACTAGTTGGGGTAAGAGCGGGGGAGTGGGACTAGATGGGGTAAGAGCGGGGGAGTGGGACTAGATGGGGTAAGACGGGGGAGTGGGACTAGATGGGGTAAGAGCGGGGGAGTGAGACTAGATGGGGTAAGAGCGGGGGAGTGGGACTAGATGGGGTAAGAGCGGGGGAGTGGGACTAGATGGGGTAAGAGCGGGGGAGTGGGACTAGATGGGGTAAGAGCGGGGGAGTGGGACTAGATGGGGTAAGAGTGGGGGAATGGGACTAGATGGTAGCTCTTTCAAAGAGCCAACACAGCCACAATGGGCCAAACAGCCTTTTTCTGTGTTATAAGACTCTATGATTCTACTCAAGCCCTGAGTGGCTTTCTGAGAGTTTCTATAAGTTCAGGCCCCTCACTGACATACGTACTTCCAACAAATATAACTGCTCCCGTGATATCTGAAGATAGCTCACAAAACACATTGCCTCCGGCTTCTAAGAGGAATGTCAGATTCTTCACTTCGATGGCAGTGCTCCTGTTGCTCAGTTTAATCAGTGGTATCAGATAGTTGTGATAAGTGAGTCTTTTAACAAAACTTCCCACACCAGCGATGCAGCAAAATGTCATATTGGTTCCTGCTTCCAGGACGATCGCGTCTTTAGGGTAGATATGGTTACTGGTTTGATTGGACACATCCTCTCCTGCAGAAAGAATAACAACAACGGTGTCAACTCTATAATCTCCCCTCCCCCTTCCCCCCACCCCTCTCTATTTCTATGGACTCACGATTAATAATAATAATCCTTGCATTTGATATTGCGCCTTATCATGTCTTTGAGACGTCTCAAAGCGCTTCACAGGGTATACTGTAACCTGAATTGACTGTATATATTGTGGGCGAAACGCGGCAGCCAATTGTGCACAGCAGCGTCCCACAGACAGTCGTGGATTGAGTGACCAAATTCTTCTTTTTTTTTTGAAGGGACTATTACTCCCGGAAAGCGATCTGCCAATCGACTAACAACAGGGTTCCTATTTACTGTTAGGTAAACAGAGGCTTGCGAAGTAAGGAAACTTGCCTAACGTTTTGCCCTGCCCGGAATCGAACCAAGGTCCTCTTACTTGCGAGCAAGTGCTCTAACCACTGACTACAAGATTCCACAGCCCATTTCCACCCCTCCCACCCCCAGTCCGCAGGATAGAGATGGAGATGAAGGTGAATGAGCAGTTTACCATCCAATGTTGACCACGGGCTCCAGTCACTCCAAGCTTTGATCCCAGCAAACAGGTACTGAGGTTCATTGCTGATACAGCGGACTCTCACAGAGTGAGACGTGCATTGTAACGGCATCTCTGTCAGCCAGCTCCACTGCAGTATTCGGTTATGTCCAGGGTTCAGAGTCACACTGCGATTCCCCTGCAAGAACCAACCAAAGCTGTTGGAAACTGCAGTAACAAACCCAGGAACTGGTGATTCAATTCTCAAGGCAGCAGCCTCTGTACACTAGAGGCTATTGACAAATGCTCTCAGACTTTTTTTTATCAGAAGTCCCTAAAATCCAAACAGGAACTGGATGCATATATATATAAGAACAGGAGGAGGCCATTCAGCCCTTCGAGCCTGTTCCACCATTTGATAAGACCATGGCTGATCTGTACCTCATCTCCAATTACCCGCCCTTGCCCATATCCCTGGATCCCCTGACCTAACAAACATCTCTCCACCTCATTCTGGACAATGTGAATGGATCCAGCCATAATCCACAGCCTTTTGGGGCAGAACTTAAGAATTTTATTGGCAAAAGAAGACCAAGGTTCATGCAGTTCGCCTTCCACCATCCTGCAGTTGTTTGACATGCCGTGTCCCAAACTACATACTGCGTTTTATCCCACGGAAACACAATCGTAATATCGGAATAGAACGGAGGAGACCATTTGGCCCATGAAGTGATTCACCATTTCATAAGATTAAGCAGATTGTGAGTTAAGTGGCCACATGTTTTTTTTATTTTTATATTTTTGGAGGGATTATTACCCCCACAAATCAATTGGCTTCCTACTCACTGCTGGTAAACAGAGTTGTGTGGAGTAAGGAAACTTGCCGAACATTTCACGCTGCCCGGAATCGAACCCGGGTCCTCTCGCTTGCGAGGCACGTGCTCTAACCACTGAGCTACAGGACTACAATAATATTTGCTAATAAACATGGACGATGAAAGTCGTGCTTAAATTTTCTTGAGGTGTAATGTGACTTACTGTCCCGACCTCCTTCAGGCTCTGTGTTTGGATGACCTGGATCTGGAACAGGAGATTTAAATCAAAGCTGTACATATCAGCACCATCGCTCCACTCCACCAGCAGCTCCAGGTCTGATTCCTCTCTGAACACCCTGACCATACGCGGTGTGTGAGGCTGAAACACTGAAACACAAGATCCAAGATAAACAGCCAAGCAAGTTACAACAACAACAACTCGCATTTACATAGCGCCCTTCATGCTGGAAGGCGTCTCGGAGCGATTAACAGTGGCGGAGCCCGAGGCCGAGCCAAGGGAGTTGCCTAAGGTCTTGCCCTGCCCTGGGAATTGAACGCTGGTCCTCCCTCTTGCGAGATGAGCACGCTAACCACTACACTACAGGATCCCACTTTCCACACATCCCTTCAGACTTCGACTGGTTTCTTAGAGACTAAGAATACTTACCGATATTGCTTTCGTTCACTGTAAATATATCCGACTCCTGTGTGCCCAGGGAATTATTAGCAATGATTCTTATTTGCAAAGTCTTGAACAGAGAAAACTGTAATTCAACAGAGGTGTTTCTTCCCACTGAGGTGCATTTTCTTGAACTGCTACGAAGAGTAAAACACAATACAGCTTGTAAACACTAAACATATCTCATTCAACAACAACACATTACATTTACACGGAGCCTTTCACATTGGGAGGACGTCCCAAGATGCTGGACAACCTCGAAGGAGGTGTGGAGGGGAGGGAGGGGAGGGGTAGGAGGGTGGCTGAAGGCGCGGTCGAAGAGGAGGGTCTTGAGACATGCCTGAAGGAGGAGAAGAAGGCGAGGCAAAGAGACTGTGGGATGAAGTTTCAAAGGGTGGGGGCAGAGAGGCTATTTTGATCTTTTTTTTGATAATTACCTGAATGCTATAGTCTGAGAAACACACACGCCAAAAGAAAACGACAACAATAACTTGCATTTACACAGCGCCCCTCACACAGGGCAGCGTCCTAGAGCTTGATACCAAGCCAGGGGGAGGGGAAATGACCTTAGGCACGGTCGAAGGGGAAGGTCTTCAGGCGTGATCTGAAGATGGGGGAGGAGAGGGCAAGGCGGAGGGATAGGGGAAGAGTGTTCCAAAGTTTCTGGGCTTAGTGGCTGAAAGCGCTGCTAACAATGGTGCAACGGAGGGGACAAGGGACATGCAGGAGGCCTGAGCCAGTCAAGGGGAGGAAGCGGATAGTGGGTTGGGGAACAAGCAGGTCGGAGAGATAGGGAGGTGCCAGGACATGAAGGGATTTGAAGGCAAAGATGAGGATCTTGAAATCGAATTGGCGCTTTCACAATGAATTGAGAGAAGTCATGGGCTGTTCTTCCCAGCAGTGAGCGGATGGTAAGAGGCACATGTTTGTTGTTCGAGGGCTTCCGAACTGCCCCATTGGAAAGTAATAAAGACTCACTCCTGGCAGACAGTGTAGGTAGTATCGAGGCTTGTGTTTGGGTTCCATGAACAGACGATAGTGGCGAGGCTCTGGGATAGGCAACGTAGATCAGTAGGTGCTTCTGGAGGATCTACAGAAACACACAGTTAGTACAATAATACAACAGTAATGCATTGTAATGTGTATCGCAAGAGAAAGGACCTGGGTTTGATTCCCAGGCAGGTCGAAATGTTGGGCAAGTTTCCTTACTCCACACTCCTCTGGATACTTAGCAGTAAGTAGGAATCTGATTGTTAGTCATGTCGTTGAGATGTCTCAAAGCGTTTCACAGGATACACCGTAAAGTGAATTGACTTTGTGTATTTTGTGGGTGAAACGCGGCAGCCAATTGCATACAGCAGTGTCCCACAAACAGTCATAAATTGAGTGACCAATTTATTATTTTTTTGAAGGGATTATTACCCCCAGAAAGTGATCTGCCAATCGACTAACAACCGGGTTCCTACTTACTGCTGCTAGATAACCAGAGGTGTGTGGAGTAAGGAAACTTGCCCAACGTATCGAACCCAGGTCCCCTCGCTCGCGAGTGCTCTAACCACTAAATTACAGGATTACAGGATTATATAAATGTAATTTTGCTGCTGCTGTTGTTAAGGGATGTTTGATGCCCAAGGCCTGAAATTTCACAGCAGCTCCCAGTTCCTGACTAAGAATTTTCCACTATTCTGCACAAGGTGGCATTACGAGCCTCTGTCTGTGTGCCCTTCTTATGCATTATATCAATCTGACAGTAGACGGCGCTAAATACATAAAGCATCAGCCTCCAGAAATGGTTACTTGTCCTGACGTAACTTGCTTTCTCTTGGCATATATATTGTAAGGTGAATTGACTGAATCCTTGCATTTGATACAGCGCATTACATCGTCGTTGAGACGTCTCAAAGTGCTTCACAGATTATCCTGTAAAGTGAATTGGATGCTGTAAAATTGCACATTTTGTGGACGGAATGTGGGAGCCAATTGCGCACAACAGTGTCCCACTTATTCCACACAGAGCCTAATAATAATCCCTCCAAAACAACAAAACAATAATAAATTGGTCATTTTCAATTCATGACTGTTTGTGGGACGCTGCTGTGCACAATTGGCTGCTGCGTTCGCCCACAAATATACAGTCAATTCACTTTACAGTATATTCTGTGAAGCGCTTTGGGACGTCTCGAAGACATGAAAAGCGCTATATCAAATGCAAGGATTATTATTACATTCCAGGTGTGGGTATATAGGAACCCTTCATCATGGTGACAAGTATCCAATGCCAAACATGAGAATTCTACATATGTTTCCCACCTACGCATGAAATTTCTCTGTGTCTGGAATGGAATGCGCACTTTCTCTCTGGAGAGACACATCCTGCTTATCTAAGTCTGGAGAGTACTAGGCGCAGGTTGGTGAAAGCTAAGGCTTGGGGGAGCCCAGAGTGCCCAGAGTGCGTGTTGGGATAACTGCTGGAGTCTAACCAGCTAAACCCACACAGCTTGGCCATTGAGAGCACTGCCTGGCTTCCCGTTGCTTGTCCAGCTAGGACCACCCTCCCCGTTAGGGCTTTGACTCACAGTATTGACAAGAGCTGAGTCTACCTCTCCAGGTCCTGCCGATGAACCAGGCTGGCTGGTCCATCACCAGCAGAGCCCTGGAATACTCAGCAATGACCTGGCTTACACATTGCACTATGGAAACCACCACACCACTCTATTGTGCTATTCTGGTGCCAAGTAAATCACCTAAAATAAATCAACTATGATTTGTGATAGGAGCCAAAGTCCTGTTTATACTTGCAATAAACTCAAAGCCTCTTCTATTCAATAACTTGAAGCTGCATCAGTCTGGCTCAGTGGTAACGCTCTCTCTATCGCCTCTGAGTCAGAAGGTTGTTGGCTCAAGCCCCACGTCTGGACTTGAATTACAGTCTATGCTGATGCTCCAATGCAGTGCTGGGTGGGGTGGGGGGGAATTGAATTGTGGGTTTGCCGTCCTTTGGACAAGACGTTAAACCGAGATCCCGTCCACCTGTTCAGGTGGATGTTAAAGATCCCGCGGCAAGATTTAAAAAGAGAAGGGAGTTTCTCTCTCCAAATAAAATTGATCGCTCACTCCATGGCTGTTTGTAACATAGCTGCCGAGTTTTGCCCACAAAATACAAAGTGAATCCACTTACAGTATATATCCTGTGAAGCCCTTGGGGACGTCTTGGCGACATGATAAAGCGCTGTATCAAATACAGGGATTATTATTATTAATTATTTCTCCCCCTACATATCTCATTGATATTTAAGCACTTTGAGATGTCCTCCCAATGGGCCAATCGCTCTACAACAACAACAACAAGATTCCATTTATAGAGCGCCTTTCAAGTCGGGAGGACGTCCCAAAGCGCTGGACAGTGAGCTAGTGATCTACTGGTTAGTGACTTGAAAAGCCAAGGTGGACAGAAAGCAATGTGGTTCTATCTCTGGTGCAATTAATAAGTTCAGGCCAGTACAACAACAACCACAACAAATGACACATCCATCCCGCCAGAAAGACATCCCAGCTTGAAATACAAGCTGCTTGGGTAGAAACAATTTGGAAAGTCACAGCGTCCTGCCTCAGGTGTCAGATTGGCTGTTACATGTCCCAGCTCTTTTCCTGTTCCAAATGCAACACGGTGACCGAAAGCACGGTCAAAGATGTAGGTTTTGAGGTGTGTCTTGAAAGAGACGAGGGAGCGAGTTGGAGGGTCTTTGGGATGCAATTCCAGAGAGTGGAGGCAGAATGACTCCCAGCCAATGTGGGCAGGGAGGGTAGAAGGCATGCAGCAACAACAACAACAAAATTACATGTGTATAGCACCTTTCACGTTGGAAGGACGTCCCAAGGCCCTGGACAGACAGAGTTACGGAACCGAGCTGAGGGTCGGGATGGGGAAGGGGGGGGGCTAGGGGTGGGGGGGGCGCAGATAGATCGAAAGCACGGTCGAAGAGGAGGGTCTCGAGGTGGGTCTTTAGGTGGCGAGGGAGGAGGCGAGACGGAGGGACTGTGGGATGGAGTTCCAGAGGATAGGTGCAGAGTGGCGGAAGGCCTGCCCATTGATAGTGGGGCGAGTGAGGCAGGGGACGTGAAGCAGGCCAGATCCTGGTGCAGCAGGTTGGTGTTCGCTGAGCGAAGGGAGTGGCCAGGTTGGTAGGGTTGAAGGAGGTTGCACATGTCACATCCCAGACTATATACTGTGGGGTGAGACATTGAAGGGATTTATAAGGTGCGAAAGAGGATCTTGAACTTGATCCGCTGTGGGTTGGGGAGCCAATGGATCTGAGTGAGGATGTGTGTGATGTCAGGCTACAGAGCCTGTGTGGGAGAGGACACAGGCTGCAAAGATACAAAGACAATCTATCCCGTACGTATTATAGCCTTATAGCCTGGCTTAGCAGGCTTCAAACTGACTTGGGTGGACTGATTGGTTATGAAAACAGTTTATTTTGCTTTCTCCACACTTAACACATGGAAACAATAGTCTGTATTTTACTGTCAGAAATGTGTGTTTGTTGACAAACCAACTATTCCACCAACTGCAAATTCCTAGGCATCTGTCCTCAATGCAGTGGAGTCCTGTAGCTCAGTGGTTAGAGCGCTCGCCTCACAAGCGAGAGGATCTGGGTTCGATTCCCAGTAGGGCAAAACACTGGGCAAGTTTCCTTATTCCACATGCCTCTGTTTACCAGCAGTGAGTAGGAACCCAGTTGTTAGTTGATTAGTAGATCACCATTCCAGGGATACTAATCTTTTCAAAAATTATAATTTTAAAAAAATTTGGTCACTCAATCCACGACTGTTTGTGGGACACTGCTGTGGGCAATTGACTGCTGCGTTTGGCCCACAGAATACACAGCCAATTTACTTTACACTATATTCTGTAAAGCCCTTTAAGACGTCTCAAAGACATGATAAGGGGCTATATCAAATGCAAGGATTATTACTGTTATTATTATGAAGATTGTGAAGGCCCATGTGAGGACTTGAGCTCACAACCCAGCCAGGCCTGACCCTCCAATGCGGTAATGAGGGAAGGGATGCTGTGTTGGGAGGAGTGAAGTGAGCTGTTCAGGGCAACTTTACAGATCTGGCAACACAATTGGAAAAGACATGTTTCTCCTGGTATCATGCCCAACGATCCTCCAGATAAATCAATCATCCACATCATGATTGGGGGAAGTTTCTGTGCATAAATTGGCTGACCTTCCTATAAACAAAATATCACTATGCCTTAGAGCAATGACCTGTGACTCATTTGGAAATGTTTTGGCATTATAGGCTCTATATCAAAAAAAGGATTATTATTTAGTATTCTGTGGCTTAAGATCAAGGTATTAAATTTTAAGATGGGGTGTAATTTTGGATAATTCATGAACTAATAATTTAGTCATTCAATCCACGACTGTTTGTGGGACACTGCCATTCACAACTGGGTGTCGTGTTTCACCCACAAAATACATAGTCAATTCACTTTACAGTGTATTCTGTGAAGTGCTTTGAGATGTCAAATGCAAAGATTATTATTATTATACTTACCTCCATTCTGTCCACTTGCCAAATGTGACTCAAATAAAAAAAGTACTAAAAACACAAACAACTTCATTGTTCCACCCTCGGTCGTTGTTCCAGTGCTTTGGGACATCTTTCTGACTTGAAAGGCGCTATATAAATGCAACTTGTTGTTGTTGCTGTCGATCGGTTCCAGAGGAAATAAACGACAGAATCCTTCACCATGGAATTCACTGAAACAAAAAGATTTTTTCCACTATTAATTTTTTTTACATAAATGTTCAAATGCAGCAACTATATGGTGTAGACAAGCCATTTTGCTCACAATGGGGTGAGTTCACCAGAATAATGCCACGGATAAAAGGGTTAAATTATGAGGACAGGTTGCTTAGAAAGGAAAGTGAGTCAACGTTTCGGGTCCACGACCCTTCATCAGAACTGGACTGGTTTAACCCCTCATGAGAAGGTTGGTACCTCCAGCAACACAGCGCTTCCCTGGAGTATCAGCTTGGACTGTGGGCTCAAAGCCCTCAACATGGGGATTTAAACCAACTGGACCACAAAATTAGCCCCTCCTAAAGATATACACTTGTGCAACAAGTGCACACGCGCACACATGCAAGCTTACAAATCATGAATGCTTAAGAAACTGAGCACATAATAACAACACATTACACAGCACCTTTCTCGGTGGGGGGACGTCCCAAGGCTCTGGACAGTCAACAATTTGGACCCGAGCCGGAGTTGGGATCAGGAGCGGTGGAGGGTAGGAGTCCTGCAGCGTAGTGGTTAGAGCACTCGCCTCACCAGTGACAGCACCTGGGTTCATTTTCCAGGCAGGGCAAGACGTTAGGCATTCCCTTACGCCACACGCCTCTGTTTACCAGCAGCAAGTCAGAACTCGATTGTTAGTAAAAAGGTGCATCGCTTTTCCCGGGGTAATAATCCCTTGAAAAAAATAATAATTTGTTCACTCAATCCACGACTGTTTGTGGGACACTGCTGTGCACAATTGTCTGCCGCATTTCGGTCACAAAATATACAGTCAATTCACAGTATTTTCTGTATATTCTGTGAAAAGTCTCGAAGATGTGATAAGGCGCTATATCAAATGCAAGGGTTATTATTATTTGGGGTAGGAAGGTGACCGAAGGCTCGGTCCTAAGACAGGCCTTCCTTTCAAACATGTGTCTGACTCCATAAATTAGACAAATAAGGATCTAAAAATAGGATCCAGTACTGATAGAAAGAAAAAGTTGTTATGCAGACACATGAGAAGTAATGGTCCATTGGAACCAGAATTGATAATAATAATAATAATAATCCTTGCATTTGATATAGCGCTTTTCACGTCGAGAGGACGTCCTAAAGCGCTTCACAGAACACACTGTAAAGTGAATTGACTGTATATTTGTGGGCGAACGCGGCAGCCAATTGCGCACAGCAATGTCCCACAAACAGTCGTAGATTGAAAATGACCAATTTATTATTGTTTTTGGAGGGATTATTATTAGACGTGTGGAGTAAGGAAACTTGCCCAAGGTTTCGCCCTCTGCCTGGCATTGAACTCAGGTCTCTCACTTGCAAAGCGAGTGCTCTAACCACTGAGCTACAGGACTCCATAAATGACATAATCTGATGACAGATTAATCTGTAGATCAAGGTTCTCAATGGACTGTGAAATAACACTGAACAACCAGACATGAAGCTCCGAGACGCCGTCCGGCGTGGAGGGCGCTATATTAATCGAAGTTGTTGCTGTTGTTGCTTGACTGCATGTGTAATTACACTGTCCGCAATGTTAAACTGTCTCAAAGCATTTCATAGGCTATTACTGTCAAGTGCAGTCGCTTGTGTATTTGTAAGCAAGCGTGTCAGCAAATTTGCAGACAGCTATGAAGTTAGTGATCATTTCATGTGGAGGATTGCCAGCTAAGGGAGAAATATCCTTCTCTTTTCCAATAGTGTTGTGGGATCTTTAACATACACCTGAAAAGACACGCATGAGGTCTCGGTTTAAAATCTCCTAAGAATAAAAATCCCCTTAAACACAAACACAATTTGGCAAATTCTTTAATACAGCCTTAATTTTGAAATTGGTTTTCTGTACATTTCACAATTTGCATTTACATAGTACTTCTATAGTAATTGTATAATATATAATAATCCTTACATTTGATATAGCGGCTTATCACGTCTTCAAGACATCTCAAAGCACTTCACAGAGTATACTGTAAAGTGAGTTGACTGTATATTTTGTTGGTGAAATGTGGCAGCCAATTGTGCACAGAGGCGTCCCACAAACAGTTGTGGATTCAATGACTAAATTAGTATTATTTTAAAAAAAAGTGAAAAATTATTACCCCTGTTTACTGCTGGTAAACAGAGGTGTGCGGAGTAAGGAAACTTGCCTACGGGTTCATCCTGCCTGGGAATCGAAACCGGATTCTCTCGTTCGCTCTAATCAAAATTCTACAGGAACTCCACGATAAAGCTTATAGGCTCCTGAATTCTTTAATAAGACCTCCGCTCTGATAGGCGTCCACTGTGTCTGTAAAGCGCTTTGAGATGTTCCCCCCCTATGTGAAAGGTGGTAGGAAGTGCCAGTTGTTTTGGAAGCTTGCCCTGGAGCTTTCTCTTACAAAAACAATAATCTGCGAATAAATCTGCCTTTATTCCCAAGACCAGCCTGGCCACATTTTTCATTTCTTAAATTACTTTGAGGATCAACATGGTTGTTTAAGGAAACTGAAGGAGAGGTCTGGGTGCTGAAGGCCACACCTACCTAATGATCAGGCTTAGCTCAGTTCTGCATTAAATGTGAGATCAAATCATCAGAACAGCGATTAGAAGGAGGAGAGTGTTTTAAAACCAAAGTATCTGTCGATTAAAAGCTAAAACTATTTGCGGTCCCCGTCTCTGCTTTACTGCGCTGACAGAGAGAATCACACTTGGCTGAAATCTTTCCTAGCCCTTTAGGGGACACTGGATAACACAGGGATAATAATAATATAACAATCCTTGCATTTGATATATTGCCTTATCATGTCTTCAAAACTTCTCAAAGCGCTTCACAGAATATACTATAAAGTGAATTGACTGTATATTTTGTTGGTGAAATGCGGCAGCCAATTGGGCACAGCAGCGTCCCACAAACAGTCGTAGTATGTCGTAATAAAAAAACATTATTTTTATTAACAACAGGATTCCTACTTACTGCTAGGTAAACAGAGGTGTGTGGAGTAAGGAAACTTGGTAACGTTTCGCCCTGCCTGGGTATTGAACCCAGTCCTCTCGCTTGCGAGGCATGTGCTCTAACCACTGAACTACAGGACTAGGTGGTGAATACGGCCGTCAATTTTTGCAAAGCAACGTCCAACTACAGAAATGAAGTGGGAGACCTATTTTATCTGAAGGATTGTTGGCTAGGATCCCAGAAGAAACTCATTTCGAATAGGTGCCTTCCCTCACCTCCGTAACATCGCCCGACTCCGCCACTATCTCACCCCTCAGGCGCTGAAACTCTTGTTTATGCCGTCATCACCTCGAGGCTCAACTATGCAAACCCCCTGCGTGTCGGCCTTCCTAACTCCTCCCTCCACAGACTGCAGATAATCCAGAACTCTGCAGCCCGTGTCCTCTCCCGCACCAAACTCCGTGACCCCATCTCCCCCACTCTCGCCCGACTCCATTGGCTCTCTACCCTTCAGAGGATCCAGTTCAAGATCCTGATCCTCACCAATAAAGCCCTCCATGGCCTCGCCCCACCCTACCTCTGCAACCTCCAAACCCCCTACCAACCCGCCCGCTCCCTCCACTCAGTCGGCTCCGACCTGCTCCATGTTCCCCGACCCACCCGCCCCACCATTGGCGGGAGGGCCTTCAACCACTCTGCCCCCAACCTCTGGAGTTCCATCCCCCAGTCACTCTGCCTCACCCACTCCTTAGCCTCCTTCAAGTCCCGCCTCAAAACCCTCCTCTTCGAGCATGTCATCGGTCACCCCCCTTCCCCTCCCTTCTCCCCCCCTGACCCCAGCTTGGGTCTGAAATGCTGTACACTTGGGACGTCCTCCTGACGTGAAAGACGCTATATAAATGTAATCTTGTTGTTGTTGAAGGAAAGACCTTTTGTTACTTTTGACCTCAACAGGCACAGATGGGACCTCAGTTTAACGTCTTATCTGAAGGATGGCACATAATCCTCCAACAATGCTGTGCTCTCCCGGCACCACATTGCAACCAGTCGACACAAAAGTGAAAGCAAAAGTGATGGGAAAAATATGGTAGGGTTTGAGAAAAGAGCAGGAGAGTGGGACTAAACTGAGAAGACTTTCAGAGAGCCAGCACAGGCAAATTGCCTCCCTAGTAAGTTCTATGAGCCACACATTATTCCTAATTGGGGAAAAGTAGAAAAGGTTTGGGGTGAGAGAGAAAGTCAATCAATGTACCTTAACCACACACAGTCATTTGTGGAGTTCTGTAACTTAGCACTTGCCTCGCAAGCGAGAGGACTTGGGCTGGACTCCCAGGCAGGGCGTAACTTTGGGCAAGTTTCCTTACTCCGTAAGCCTCTGGTTACCTAGCAGTGAGTAGGAACCTGGTTGTTAGTCAATGGCGGATCGCTTTCCGGGGATAATAATCCTTTCAAAAGAAAATAATAATAATAATTTGGTCACTCAATCCACGACTGTTTGTGGGACACTGCTGTGCGCAATTGGCTGTCGCGTTTTGTCCATAAATATACAGTCAATTCACATTACACTATATTTTGTGAAGCGCTTTGAGACATCTCGAAGACGTGACAAGGTACTATACCAAATGCAAGGATTATTGCTTTTATTTCCCCTAATCCAGGAAGCGGAACTACAATATCCTGAAACAAAGGCAATGCACCAGTAATATTTATGTCAGGAATTGAAGAATATTCTTTGAAACAACAACAAATTCAACAACAACAATTAAGAGATTAGAGGAAAAAGACAAGTGGGAAGTGTAGAGCAGGTACAAGCGGACAATTTCCTCAAATGCATGCACCTGAATGCACGTAGCTTAGGGAATAAGGTTGATGAGCTGAAGGTTCAACTGGCCGTAGGGGGTTACGATGTGGTGGCAGTAACCGAGACATGGCTCAAGCCAGAACAGGAATGGGAGTTAAATATTCCGGATATATTCCAGGTGTTCAGGAAGGATAGAGAAGGAAGAAAAGGAGGAGGGGTGGCAATATTAGTTAAGG